CTTCATATTTAGACCTTGGATTTTTGTTGTTGTTGTTGCTTTTCCTAGATTTTCAATAACATTTTCTTTTCTTGCTGCCAAACAAGCAATCTACACATCTCTTAAAGGTTATTGCGTATGTCCGTGCTCCATCCCTATTGAGTCATGTATTTCTTACCCAGGACCTCTATCCTTCTCTGTTATCCTGGGGCTTCCTGTCAATCCTGAGTTATTACTGCTGCTCTTTCCCCCCTTGTGACTGACATTTTCATTTTGCTGGAGTACATACTTTAGCAGCTTTCTCAGAAATGATATGGGAAGTTTCTGAGCTCTTGTCGGCTTAACTTTATTTCTCCGTAATTGATAACCTGGCAAAAACTCTAGTTTAAAAACAATCTTCGCTACAAATTTCAAAATTAGTGTTTTTAGAATTCAGTGTTGGGGGCTGGAGGGATGGCTCAGACGATAAGCTCACTGGCTGCTCTTCCAGAGGTCCTGAGTTCAATTCCCAGCAATCACAGGGTGGCTCACAGCCATCTGTAATGAGATTTGGTGTCTTCTTCCAGCGTGTAGGCAAACATGCCAGAACACTGTATACATAATAAATAAATAAATAAATAAATAAATAAATAAATAAATAAATAAATAAAATCTTTTAAAAAAAGAATTCAGTGTTGATGAGAAGCCCGATTCTGGTCGGCTTTTAGTTCTCATGTTAATGTTCAGGGTTTTGTTTTGTTTTCCCCTTGGCAGCACTTGGATTTCTCTGGGAATAGCACAATGATGTATTTAGGTGCTGGGAAGTAATGGGAATGAAGACAGGGGTCTTCTTCATTTGGGGAAACTGCTATCTCTTATCCTGGCATTTTCTTTTATCTTCTCTGTTTCTGTTCTCTCTCTGTTCTCTGGCTACTATAATCTCAAATTTCTCTCTGATTTCCTGAACTTTCCTACCCTTGTCTATTTCTATCCTACATGCCAAGGGGATACACTTAATTTTATTTTTCAGATCTATGACATTTACAGTTTATTGTAAAATAAATTATAAAATTAATTAATTAATTAATTATATGTTCCCCCACGTGGGTCTCAGGGATCAAACTCAGGTTGTCAAACTTGGTGGCAAATGCCTCAACCCACAGAACCATCTCACCAGCCCAGATCTATGGCATATTTAACTTTGATGATCACATTTTAAACTTTTAATAATTCTTTCTTTTTGGAATTTTTTTCCTCAGCATTTTCATTTTGCTGGAAGGATATTCCTCTTGGATGTATCCGGAACTACTAATTAATGTTTTTCTCCAAAATTCTCTCAGCCACGACTTACTTATGTGTTTCTCCCATCGGGGTTGTTCCGTGTTTATTCAGGCTTTTGTTTATTGGTTGTGGTTCTCAATCCTCATCTGGTGAGCTCTGGTTATGTGGGTTCTTGTGCTATAAGTTGTTCAGTACTGTTTTCCTGCTAGATGGGAGGGCAAGCACAACACATTTGTGTGCCTGGATGATTTGTGGGCGGGGCTTCCATCGAGGTACAGCATCCACACTGGCAGCCTGGCAGCCTGGCAGCCTGGCAGCCCTCAGGCCATGTACTGAGACTCCCTAGGAGCCTTCCAAAGCGGCCCTTTCCAACCCTTTCAAGCAGTTGTTTTTAATTGTCTCTGTGTCCCAAACAGGAGACGTTTTGTCTTCTTAGAGTAGATTCATTCTCTCTGCATAGAGACACTCGTTAATCCCACCAACACCTTTTTACTAGTTTCTTTAAGGAGAAGGGGAATTAATAGAAAGAAAACATGAATGGCCTGCCACATCATTTCCAACCTTATTGTTGTTCCAACCCATAGTGGAAAATTGTCTTGAGCTTATATGTAGTTATATATATTGACTTATATATATTGACAGTGTTTGCCTTGTATGCACGAGGCCCCAGTTTGGAGCAGCAGCTCTGTATGCAAGAGCCTGTCATCCTGGCACTTGGAAGGTACATAGAGTCAGCCTGAGCAGGAGACCCCGCCAGAAACAAAGATAAAAAAAATGATCATTGTAAAACACTGGGAAAACAAACAAATTGTAGAAAAAAAAGTTCTTCCATCATACAGAAATAATATGATTAATATTTGTAAACATGTTCTAGCTCCGTGTGTGTGTGTGTGTGTGTGTGTGTGTGTGTGTGTGTGTGTGTGTGTGACAGGGTGTAGGCCAGAGGTCTACATTGTGTGTCTTCCTTTGTCATTCTCCATCCTGTTTTCTGAGACAAGGTTTCCTCACTGAATCTGGAGCTGGCCCATTCAGCTAGACTGTCTGGCCACAAGCCCCAGGGGTGCTGCTGTCTTGACCTTCCCAGGGCTGGTATCTTAGGTGTATGCTACCATTCCCTCTTTATGTGGGTGCTAGAGCCTCAAACTCAGGTCTATTCTTTGTGTCCAAGAACTTCATGGACTGAGTCTGTTCCCCTTCTCTCTCTCTGATAACAATGGGAATATGCCATATGTTCTGTTTCTGCTAAGTCTCTTTAAACAATAGCTGAGCCCGCCCTTCTATGTCACAGCATATCCTACACTGACTCTGAAGCCTAGTATTTCTTGAAGGCATATCATCATCATTTACTTAGCCAACCCTCTAGCTTTAGACATGAGATAGTTTGTAATTTTCACTGCTTAAATAAGTATTTCTATGTAGTGATGTGCTGTTTGTAATCTAAGGAATAAAACTGGCCTGAAGATCAGAAGAGCAAAGTGGCTAGCCACTAGCTCTTACCTCTACCTCAGACTGGAAGGGGTCATCCTGTCTGATCTTCAGGCAAGCTTTATTAGATCACACACACACATACACACACACACACACACAAAATCACCACATTTATAAACCTGTTAGTTACACCTTTATTCATAGGTATTCTGGTTTGCTTTTCTGTTGCTGTGATAAAACAGTCCAACCAAAAGAAATTCGGAAGAGAAAAGGGTTTATTTGATGTCCTAGTTAGGGTTTCTATTGCTGTGCCGAAACAGCATGATGGAAAAGCAAGTTGGAGAGGGAAGGGTTTATTTGGCCTACACTTCCACATCACTGTTCATCATTGAAGGAAGGACAGGAACTCAAACATGGCAGGAACCTGGAGGCAGGAGCTGATGAAGAGACCTTGGAGGAGTGCTTCTTCCTGGCTTGTTCCCCACGGCTTGCTCAGCCTGCTTTCTTATAAAACCCAGGATCACCAGCCCAGAGGTAGCCGCACTCACCATGGGCTGGGCCTTCTCCCATCAATCAGCTTTCCTACAGCCTGATCTTACAGAAGCATTTTCTTAACTTGAGCTTCCTCCTCCCAGATGACTCTAGCTTGTGTCAAGTTAACAGACACCTGACCAGTACATTTGGGTTATACTTTCTAGTAACAACAGTACATCACTGAGGGAAGTCAAGGAAGGAACCTGGAGGGAGAAAGTGAATCAGAGACCATGGAGGAATGTTGCTTGCTGGCTTGCTTGCTAGCTTTGTTACTTAGCCCAGGGCCCACTTGCATAGGGATGATGCCTCCCACAGTGGGCTAGGCCCTCCCACATCAGTCATCAACCAGGATAATTCCTCACAGACATGTCCACAGGCCAATCTGATTGAGACAATTCTTCAATTGTGGCTCCCTCTTTCCAGATGACTTTCGGCTGTGCCAAGTACAGACAACACAGCGCAGTAGTACCCCTGGCTATTTGGGAAAACTCTTAGTGGTAGAGTACCCGGGACAAAAATGTGTGTAGAGTCAATTCTTAGTCCAACATTCAGGGTTCTTTTGAACTAGCCCCCCTGTAGCTTCCTGGCCCCAAGCCCTCACTCTGCTACTCCAGGGTTCCCTAAGGCATCACAGCAGAGGCATTAGAAATGGTACTATCAGAGTCAGACAGATTAGGGCTGAAGCATGGCTTTGCCAGTTACCAAATGTGAACCTTTAGGCTGTTTCAGTCAACTTTTCTAGAGCTTTCCCATAAAACAAGGGAATAATTCCCATTTTCTGGTGTGGTTGTGGTAAATGTTTAACAGAAAGAAAATTTGCACAAAGCACTTATCCAGCTCTGCAGGCTGAGTGTCAGTCTACAATGGTGGTATCAGACCCATGTCATCCCTGAGTCGACTAAAATCTCTTTCAGGGCCATGCTCCTCCTGCCTCCATCTCCACCTGCTGTGTCAAGAGTTTCATGGTGACATTTCCCTTCACACTGAGTTGATAGAGCACTCATGTGCTGGGCCCTCATCTCACTTTGTCCTGTTGAGTATGTCTAGAGAGAGGAAATATCTCCCTCCTCCCCAGCTGTGCTATTGGTCCCTCACCAGGAGGGATGAATTAATTTTCATTACTTTTTTGAGGGGGGTTTAGTTTTTTGAGACAGGTTTTTACTATGTAGCTCTGACTGTCCTGGAACTTTCCATATACAGTAGACTGGACATCCACTTGCCTCTATTGGTGTTCTTGGGGACTGGAGGTAATAAGATAAAGGAGACTGACACAGTGATCGCTGATTGCCACAGATTTTTGTCATTTGGAGCCCTCTGGTAGGTCAGGAGCTCTGAACATGGCACTTGGTCCTGGCTGCTGGGTGATACCTGGCCCTGGGAGTACTTGAACCCTCCGTGAAATAGCTGGCAGCAGAAGAAATACACAGGCCTTTTGTTCCTAGGAGCCACTTTGGGCATTGTCCTAGCTAAGCAGGCAGAGCTCAGCATGGGGCATCAGGACCTTTGTGTGGCGGTGAGCACCCTCCCTCATCCTTGATACTTTCCACAGAGTGATAAGATGCTTTCAGAGCTAGGAGGGATTTCCTCTTGAGCACAGCACAATCCACAAAGGTCCCTTTCACCGCCCTGCAGATGCCTCCCCAGTTGCCAGGGGAGATGGAGCTTTGGCCTGCTTGCACTGTTGCAGATGGCAGCTAACAGGAAAGGGCCCAGAGGAGAGGAAGGGACCACCCTGGGGAGAGCTATTTGCTTCACAGAGTACCCTGCCTCACTTCATCCCATGTCTGGGTGTCTTTCAGGCGTCATGGCTGGCTTCAACATGGGAGGAGACCTGAGGGAGCCTGCCACCAGCATACCTCTAGGTTCCCTAGCAGCTGTCGGCATCTCGTAAGTTCCCCTCAGTGTGAGCTGGAGAATGGGAGAGAAAAACCTCAGGCAGAAGAGGGGACTCCCCTTTTGTTCTGAGAGTGCCCTGGCTGTGACCAACCTATTTCGTATTCCAATCCTCCTTTTTACACTCGGTGGGCCGGAAAATTCACGTCTGCTGGGTTCAGACACTGTCCTTTCACACCCCCTGCCTGAGATTGCTTCAGGAGGAGGAAGGTCATGAATGCAAACCAAACCCTTCCCTTGCCCCACCCCCTCAACCACCCTGCCTCTTCTCCACCCTCATTTTGAACTTGGGGATTTTTTTTTTTAACCACTGAGTTCCCAGGGTCGTGGTGGGAACATGGTGATGAAGTATGTTGCAATCACAGACTACTGTCTGCATCCTGTTCGTCAGCTTTCTGAGTGTCTATAAGTGTGTGTGTGTGTGTGTGTGTGTGCACGCACGAGCGCGCACGCAAGCATGAGTGTGTGTATGTAGGTAGGTGTTTAAGTATGTGTGTGTGTCTACATGTGTACACCTTATGGATAGAGGGAGATGCTGCATGCTAGGATGAATAGCAGAAGCTCAGAGATGGGTCTGTTCCTTCCCCTCCTATTCCCCCAGGGTTGTTGGTTTCTGGGGTTTAGTTCCCATCGTGCTGCTCTTACTAGCAGACTGTGCCATGACCTTGGGTCTGTTTCTGACCCTCTAGAGTCCTCTGCTGTTTTTCTTGTATGGGCAGAAGGGTGCATCTCTGCCTTCATTGGACAGGTGTGGGAAGGCAATAAGGTCCTGATGGGAGATGCTGACAGTACCTGCACAACACAATACTTTAAAATGTTAAAATAAAGCCAGGTGTTGGTAGCACACACCTTTAATCCCAGCATTTGGGAGGCAGAGGCTGGTGGATCTCTATGAGTTCCAGGCCAGCCTGGTCTACAGAGTGAGTGCCAGGATAGGCTCCAAAGCCACAGTGAAACCCTGTCTCGAAAAACCAAAATAAATAAATAAAACGTTAAAATAGCCACCTGCAAACGCCTACTGCGGTGCCTCCATTGCTGCCAATCAGGCACAGGGCTCCTGGCCATGTGTGCAAAATGAGACAGCATTGGGAAGAAATGAAGAGACAGGGAGAGCCTAGTGTTGGGAGGAAGAGGAAGAAAGTTCCATATGAGCAGCCAGCCAGAAGTCAGAGGCTGGTGTATCCTGTCATGGCCTAGATGGGCAGCCCTCAGGATCATGTGACTTATTCTCCCATACAGGGCCACAGCTTGGTGGTAGAGCCAGGCTATGGCTCTGCCTTTTAATTCTCCCTTCTGTGTCTGTTGCTGTGATAAAACACCATGACCTTGGGGAGGAAAGGGTTTATTTCAGCTTATAGTTTATGATCCATCGTGGAGGGAAATCGGGTTACTCAACCTGCCCAGGAATGGTGGCACCCACAGTGGATCCTCCCCCATCAATCATTAATCAAGAAAATGCCCCCCACCACTCGCCTACAGGTCACAGGCCAACCTTACAGAGACATTTTCTCAGCTGAGGTTCCCTCTTCTCAGATGACCCTAGCTTGTGCCAGGGTGACAAAATACTCAGTGTTGTTATCTGTGGTCTAGAGACCAGAGGCGCAAGAGATGACTGGGTAGTTCTGCTTGGAGGAAGATGGATGGGCTGTGGGACAGCAGGTCAACCCCGACCAAGTCTTGGTAGCTGGACTTCCCACTTCCCCACCTCGACATCCTTCTTTAATATAAGAATGAGAACGCTGCTGCCTTGGTTCCAGAGGAGAAAGAGTACAGAATGCAGCTTCCCAGGCTAGCTCTGTGACTTCACGGCTGGCCTCCTTTCATGACACAGGTTCCCACAGAAACTCTCTTGGGTTTTGCAGGTGGTTTCTGTACATCATCTTTACCTTCCTGCTTGGTGCCATCTGCACCCGAGAGGCCCTCCGCTCTGACTTCCTGATAGCTGAAAAGGTGGGTGTGTCCCTTGCCCCCCAAAGGGCTCAACCTGCAGGGCTTACTCATTCCATGAACACACACACACACAACTGCCTCCCCTTGTAGCTCTGTCTGGGAATCTGTATCATCTTCAGCCCAGGACCAAATCAGGGTTTTGGGGATAGGCCTGTGGAAAATGGATCCTTAGGATGGTCCTCAGATTCCAGCATCCAGAGACGGACATGAATGCAGGAGACCAGATAATAGGGTCATCATAAAGAAACCAAGACAAAGGGTGGCGGTAGGCAGCTCTGTTGGTAAAATGTTTGCTGTGCAAGCATGAGACCCCAAGTTGGCCCCTCAGGACCCATGTAAAATGCTGGGAGTGGTGGCACACACTTGCAATTCTAGCACTGGGGAGGGGACACAGGAGGATCTCTGGGGCTTTCTGCCCAGCCCGCCTAGCCTATTTAGTGAGTCCAGATCTCAGTGAGAGACCCTGTCCCAGAGAACAAGGAGGAGGACCAGAAAGATGGTTCAACAGGCTAAGGGTCTTTCTGCCAAGCTTGATGACCTAAGTTACATCTCCTAACTCACAGATGAAAGGAGAAGAATGGAAATGTGTTTTCTTACCACACATTTACCATGGCATGAATATGCACATGTACACATAAGCAAACACATACACACACAATGTAAGTAAAAAAAAAAAAATCATGAAAAACAGAAGAATCCAGTACTTGGAATTCCCCATCTCCTAAGTCTTTACTTTTTTGCCCATAGCTTCAGCTGCCACCTGGAAGTGCTGCTCATAAGAGCAGGGAGGAGGAGGAGGGAGGGAGGGGTGCAGTGAGGAACAGGAGGAGGAGGAGGAGGAGGAGGAGGAGGAGGGGGGGGTGCAGTGAGGAGCAGGGAGGAGGAGGAGGAGGGGCGGTTGCATGAAGGCAGGCTCTCCTAAGAATCACTCTGGGTTGGTCTGGATTAGTGAAGTCCTTGAGTTCCATAGCTTCCTTTACAGACTGGACATCACGTGACACCAAGGACACTTACTTGGCATTGCTTAAATTCACAATAAGACTGTCTGAAAAATTCCCTAAAACTCCCATTGTGCCTCAAATTCACAGAAGAAAAGCAGACTCTGAAATTCCCACCATTTCCGGAAAATGGTGGCCAGTTAGTTAGGGAGGATCTCAGTTAGGGAGGGTCTCAATTAGGGAGGGTCTCAGTTAGGGAGGGTCTCTCTCAGTTAGGGAGGGTCTCTCTTAGTTAGGGAGGGTCTCAGTTAGGGAGGGTCTCTCTCAGTTAGGGAGGGTCTCTCTTAGTTAGGGAGGGTCTCAGTTAGGGAGGGTCTCTCTCTGTTAGGGAGGGTCTCTCTCAGTTAGGGAGGGTCTCAGTTAGGGAGAGTCTCTTTCTGTTAGGGAGGGTCTCTCTCAGTTAGGGAGGGTCTCAGTTAGGGAGGGTCTCTCTCTGTTAGGGAGGGTCTCTCTCAGTTAGGGAGGGTCTCAGTTAGGGAGGGTCTCAGTTAGGGAGGGTCTCAGTTAGGGAGGATCTCAGTTAGGGAGGTCTCTCTCAGTTAGAGAGGGTCTCTCCAGAACTCCTGCACTGTTCTCTGGTGTGGAGCCGGTCTGCACAGAGGCCAGTGATGACGGAAACTGACTGACCCAGGAGATGGAACTTGTTTTTTAAAGGTGTGCTTGAGTTTGGTCTCCACACTCACACGGGTCTCTTTTTAGAGTGTTTTTGTTTTGTTTTGTTTTGGGTTTTTTGTTTGTTTGTTTGCTTTTTAATCTCTTTACTCTTTCTTTGCTCTTTGGGGGCCCGCCACCCAGCTCCAAATAAATACACAGAGGCTTATTCTTTCTTATGAACACCTGGCCTTAGCTAGGTTGTTCTAGTCAGCTTTTTTTTTTTTTTTTAAAAAAACCTTTCTCTATTTCTGCATATCTTTTCTTTCCTTCTTATTCCATGTGTGGCTGTGTGACTGGCTCACAGCATCTTACGCTTTTCCTTTTTCTCGCTCCTCTAGCCTTGATTTCTCCTCCTATTTATTCTCTCTGCCCGACAGCCCCACCTATTTCTCGCTCCTGTCTTGCTATTGGCCATCCAGCTCTTTATTAGACCAATCAGGTGTTTTAGGCAGACAAAGTGACACAGCTTTATGGAGTTAGACAAATGCAACAGAAAAGAATGCAACACATATTTGGATCATTAAACCAAATCCTGCCAGCATACAATAATGTAGCTCATCTTTAACTAATATTCCACATAGACTCCAGTACAGGTGCACTTGATTTTAGAGGTCATGACCTCAGGACAAAGGCAGGATGGGAAGGGAGAGGAGCTCACTCAGGTCTTGAGAGAGCTGGCCCCAAGCCCCAAATCTCAGAGAAGGAATGTTTATCCTCAGTTATGTACTCTCTCTCTCTCTCTCTCTCTCTCTCTCTCTCTCTCTCTCTGTCTATCTCTCTGTGTGTCTGTCTCTCTCTCCTTTACTTACAAACAGACACACACAGACACACACGGTTTCACCTGGAGTTTGATCTTCATGGGCCTCTTCTCAGTAGTGGGACAAGCGTGGCTACACACGAGAAACTGAAAGTCTCTAAAAGCTATTGAAGCTAAGAAGGAGCGCCTCCCCAGGGACACCTGCTTGCCACTTATCTGCAGCTATGCTGTGAAGTGGAGGTGCGGGGTGACTGGCTCTGCCTGTCTCTAAAGCAGCTTCCTCTCCAGCAGCTCCCTCCATGGTGCTCTCCTCACCTGTTAGAGACTCTGGTCTGCAGAGAGGGAGGCAGATTTCCTGCTGGGGTGTGGCTTTTTGGAGGGAAAGCTCAGCATGGACATGGTAGAGGCCTTGTAACTAAGGAAGACCATCACAGCACAGGTCAGAAACATCTCCAGAGGTGTGGGCTATAGCCCGTGGGTGGAAGGTCCTCACTCAGTAATGAACCTGCCAACAGAGGGCACTCTGTTGGGAATGACACCTATCTTGGATGGTGAGACAAGTAGGCAGTTGGCTTGGCTTAGCTTGGTAGGCTTGGCTATGGAATGTGGGGATGTACGTACATACATTTGAAAAGTGAAGCATAGGTTTTGGAGGGTACTCAAGAGACCATTTCCTGGAAAAGCAAGTGACTGTTCTTGGTTCTTAGCAGATGCAGTGCACATGTGGACAGGGATGGACCAGCAGGGAAAACCCCAAGAGTGTAGCCCTGGGCCTCTTCCCCAAAGATCATCCAGGATCTTTCCCCAGACTTCTCCCCTCTTCCCTAGTCTGTCTGTCTGTCTGTCTGTCTGTCTGTCTGTCTCTCTCTCTCTGGGTCTGACTCTGTTGCAGTGGCAAGCACTACATTGGGACAGTTGGTTGGGCCATGTGTCCTTATGTAACCAGAGCCCAGAGAAGTTCAGCTTATAGAAGTGACTTTACTTTGACATCCATTGTCCTGATGTAGTTTTTCTGCCATTCAGCCCAGGTTCACATCTCAGCTAGATCTTGGTTCTTGGTTCTAGGCTGGGCTGTGTCTATTGGAGTTCCCCAATGTCACAATGACACAAAGCAGCTGGCTTTGGACACACTGTCAGTGCTGGTGGCTTGCAAGCCCCTCCCAGAGCTCTCCATCAGAACGGCCCTTTGGATGGCTGCTGGTTGTCCTCAGTCCTTTACCGTGGGTGGGTGGTCAGCTGATCTGTGTCTACTGGGGTTCCCTGCAGCTTCTCTGATCTATTTCTAATTCTTTGTCTCCCTAACCCAGTTTTCCCACGCCAGAGGAACTTCCCCTGACTTCTGCTTTCTTCAAATGTTTTACTATATGTGGCAGTTGTGAAATACTGTGTGACACATGGCAGGCGGTTATTATTTTAACCCCTTTTCCCTCCTCATGGGGACATCTTCATAGATGGAGACATTTATTTTAGGGACACTTTGTCCCCACCTTGTGTCCTCCATGTTTAATTCAGTAAGAAAGTTGTCAATCTCACTATTCTCTGTGATAGAGGACCTGCCTAAAGAACAGTATTTTGGCAATAGATTATGTAAACCGGACACACTCTAGGAAGTGGGTGTTTATAACAGGTCAAGAGGACCAAGAATCCTAAGAAATGCCAGTTCACAGAGCAAATGAAGTAGGAAGAGGATGACAAAGGGTCTTTGTTACAGATGGAAATCCCCCAGAGTCAACCCTAATTCATTAGCTTCATGTATACAGGAGGGACTGTGAAAGCCCGTGATAGTTTCACTATTGCATGCTGTCCCTAGGATGGGCAGAGCCCATGGCTGGTGAGTGGTTGGGGGCCTCTGCTCAGTGCCCACCACAGTGCCTGCCACCAGCTGAGCCACCCTCTGCTCACATGGCAGGCAGAACTGCCTCTCAGAGGCAAAGCTGACTGTGCCTCTGAGTGTGGGAACTGGCTAGCAAGCGAAGGCTGGATTTGGCTAGGAGTAGAGTTAAGGGAATATTGGGTAAACACATTTCTGGAAATATGAGTTGGGAGGAAGCTGGGGTGTGGAGGCATTGACTTCTTAATTCATCGGAACTTGTGGGGATATTGTGGTGTCCCCCATAACATCCACAGGTCATAGGAATTAGATGAGGCAAATGAGTCCCAAAAGAAGCAGCCACTGAAGTGGGGGAGACCTTCTGTGGCTGAACAAAGTGGACATCAGGTGTAAAAGATAAAGAGCAGAGAGCCTTGTATAATATATGTTATAATTACTTCCATCGGTAGTTACCAAAAAGTAATTAGGGTGTATGCAACCATATAATCTTTTAGAAAGATAGCTTTTGTGATGGCATGGGTGTTGCCTTTTTTTAAAAAGTCATTAACACACATTTGCTCAAAGTAAATTCTCATTTCCATGCCTACCAAAATGTTTATCAAGCTTTCAAATACAACGTTAATATGAAAACGACTAGGTCCTGTGGGAGCTGGGGACAATGCCATGTGCTTTACACCCACACATATCTATGTTGCCTGCCCAACCTTCTTGGAGCCAAGACAGTAACCTTAGTAAACCTGTTTGAATGCCTGGGTGGATG